TATGTATAGTACAGTTTATACTGCAGAACTTCTTCTTTATCGTATAGATAATAGATTTATAGAAACAATTGTGACAAAAGTATCTTGCCAAATACAAAATATTGAGAAACTATCACGTATAAGTATAAACTACACGCGATTATTATTGCGCCTTTGGCTTTGAACAATTATTCGCCAAAGGCGAGGCCGTGATTATCGGGGAATTTGTCAAATTTGACCAATCAACTTGACAACTTGTAGGATTTGTTATATATTTATTCACTTGCGCAAAAATACTAATGACGGTATTGTTATCTTTGCATAATAGTTTACACCGGTTTAGCGCCTGCCTATTAAAAATAGGCTGTGTTCACAATGTATTTTGTCTGTGTCAGTTTTCGCTTTTCATAAATGTATTCAGCCATATAGTGAACACGAAAACTCTCATAGTCATCATACTTTATAAAATACGAATGTATGATACATTATTAATTGGTATAGTACTGATTACTCTATGATAATCTATAGTAATACTTTATGTTTTTATTTATGTCACTATATTATTGTCTATGTATGGCTCTTTTGCGTACGTTATGCGGCTGGGCATTAATCTTTATACTACGATTATGTGCATGCAGTGTAGCACGCTTTTCAGCAGCAAATTTTCGTTATCTGTTTAAATTTTAATATAATTATACGAAAATCTAAAAAATAATACAATTTCTAATTCGAAAGTCCAAAGTCCAAAGTCCAAAGTCCATAGTCCATAGTCCAAAGTCCAGTCCAGTGTTTACAATATGCCAGCAAGCGATAGTTTGTTGTCGCAGTTTTACAAGCGCGGAAACTTTTTAACTTTTTAATATTTCATGCACAATATATGAAAACTAGCTTTATTTTGATGTTTTTGGATAATTTAAGTACGTAATTTTCTGAAAATCATCAAATGATAATGGGCTTTTTTGTTTAAACATACTTTTTTCCAGCTTTTTTCATAGGGTGTCAGATTTCAAAAACGCAAAGTCGAAGGCAATGCTATTCCATGTGTAGATTTCGGCATGGACATGTCAAACCACAGGGGGCCCCACTATGAGTTATGATTGAAATAATATTGTATTTATTTTTAAAAACCTACTTGAATCCCTTGATAATCGATTATTTCTTCTCTCGAAATTCTGTAAACATTTTAAACTGCTTGAATCATTATA